CTAACTTATTTCATGTGCAGTCGATCCCTACTCTTTAAGTTGGATAAATCAGGTTTTCTACCTGTCCACAGTTCATAAGGGGTAGAATCTATTTCCTTAGTTGGAACCCTATTACAAATATACATGAATGTGTTTATTGCTTCCCCCCCAAAAGGTCTTGGGTAGATTAGCATGAGCCATCATGGATCTAATCATTTCTAAGAGGGTTCTATTACGTCTTTTAACTATTCCATTTTGTTGTGGCGTATAAGGCATAATAGTATATCTTTTAATACCACATTCTTAGCAATAAGCATTGAAAGCTTCGGTTGTGTATTCACCTCCCCTATCAGTTCTAAGAATTTGATGTTCTCACCCAATTGATTTTTTATTTTTTTTTTCTATATTTTAAATTTTTCTAATGCTTCTAATTTATGGTAAATTAGATAAACGTATCCAAATCTAGAAATATTATCAAAAAAAGTGATGAAGCATGATATCCTTCTATGAGTTTTAATATTGAGGGGCCCACAAATGTCTGAGTGGACCACATTCAATAACTCAATAGCTCTCTCCCCTTTATTGAATGACTTCCTAGTCATTTTTCTTGACAAACAGTACTGACAGGTTGAAAATTCCACATTATTTAGATTTGGAATAAGATCCCCTTTTATTAACCTATTTCTTTTGTCTTTTTTTAAGTGGCTAAGCCTAAGATGCCAAATATATACATCAACGACTATTACACAATCAAATTTTATTATCAGCTTTTTTATTTACATGAAGAAGGAATAAGTTGTGGTCATCAACTAAATGTTCCCAAGCATAAATTTGTTCATGCTTTTCGATTGATACTTTCAATGATTGGAAGCGAACTTCAAAGCCCTTTTTTATAAGCAAGGGGACATATACAATATTTCGTCTCTTACAAAGGACAAAATATACATCAATTAATACAAGATCGATTGTCCCTACATACAACCTATAAGTTCATACACCTAATACATCAGAATAGGTGTTATTCCCCATGTAGATGTGTTTTTTCCCAGCTCTTATTTCTTTGAAGTCCTCGAATAGACTTTTTGAGGTTGCAATATGCCGATTAGTGCTTGAGTCTACCCACCATCCTTTGATGTGTGGTCTGCCATCAGGCACTCAAAAACTATACAAATAACTTCACACCTTTTGCTTCTATTTCCACTATTCTTTGAGTTTTGCAGGTTTCTATTCTTTGGACAACTGTTTTGAAGTGACAAGGCTGACCACATAAGAAGCAATTTGGTGGTCTTTTTTTAGTTTCTTGGTTGTAGGGCTTAGTTCATATGTTTTTTAACCTATTGTTCATCTTATTAAACTTCCCTTAAAATTTTTGGTTATTTGACTTGGGTTGGCTAAAATTGGAAGGTCTTTAAGCAAGCAAGAGTTCACACTTTTTATCTATTTTCATATACTCTTGCTCTAAAGCTAGTTGCATAGGTATGTCCCCTAATGTAAGAGAATTTGCATTCAACCTAAGTGCAATTGTTACCATTCTTCATGAAGGTGAAGACCATTTAAGATAGTAGAAACTTGCATACGCTCGGGGACTTCATTTTCAGCAATGGCTAAGTCCTTAGTCATAACGATAATCTTGTTATATTACCCTCTTTCATCTTAAATGAGTTATATTACTCTAATAGCAATTGGAGGTGTGTTTCAGAGGCTGAGTCATATTTAAGTTTTATTGCCTCTAACATTTTCTTAGATGTTTCATGATGCTTGAGAACCTTGATAAGATCATCTTGCATAAAAGTTAACACAAAAGTTTTTGTTGTGAGGTCATCTTTTAAAAAATTTTCTAACTTTTTCTTTTCTTCTTCAATCGGTTTATCATCAACTATTGGTGGATCATTTTTTAGTTCATATATGATTCTATCTTGGATGAGGAGATATTTCATCTTCCTCTTCCACATCCCAAAATTATTTCTATTCAATTTTGTAACTTTAGAAAGTTCAGCCATGACAATTCTACTAACCATATGCTAATTTTTTGTGTAAGCTTCCTAATATTTTTTAAGTTCAAAAGAAACTAAATAAGGCACCAAAAAATTTAATATGTGGTCAATACTTGTATAGAAAGAGCTGCAAGTATTTCATAAACAATATCAGTTATTAATCAATACCTCAAAATATATATATAAAATAGGCAAGGTCCCAATCAATAAGTAAGCACTACAATTATCAAAGATAATATAAAATTCCACTTTATTTTATTTATGTGGGGTGCAAGAGTAATATCAACAGTATAAATGAGAAATCTCAGCAGGAGTTTCACTAAATACATTCAAATGTCAATAAAGCATTAGCGTTTATATTAAAAGGAAAAAATTAATGCAACTAAAATTGAGCTTATGTCAAAGGGAGAAAAATATAAAAGTAAATAGATGGTAAAAAAAAAAAAAAATCAATACTAGCCAAAATTGTCCACCAAAATAACCCAATAATATTTGGGTTTCCTTCTTTCGTTTTTTTGGATGGTGAGTAAAGCTAGTCTTACTTAGCCGAACAAGTGATGAAAACAAGTTGTAAACACAACCAGTAATCAAAATCAATTATAAGATTATCAAGTGCATACAATTTATGTAACTTTCATTTACAAATTTGATGACATCGCCAAATCTATAGGAGGATAAAGTTGAAATCTCAATGATTATATAAACAATAAATTAAAATATAGTTCTTATATATTAGGGAAAAGTTTATATAGAGCCGATGCTCTAAACAATCAAATTCGAGCCTACCTCAAAAATTTCACTAGAAGAGATTGTTTTGATGCTCAAATATCCTCAAATTCATCATCTCGACATCAAGATGCATTGACATGAGAAAAAAATGGATTTCAAGTTTTAGAAATAGTGTATTTTGTAATGCACTTTTGAACTGTCAATTTTCAAGATTTTCAAGTTTTCATAAATCTCCCAATCTACACTATTTTTGAAGCTTTAAACTTTATAAATAAAGATGAAAATACATTTTAAGACTATAAAAAAGATTTCCAGTTTTCTATATTTCTCAACACTATTTGAATGTAGGCTCTAATTTGATTGTTTACAACCTGAGCTCTATACAAACCGCACCCTATATTTATTAACGCCTGTATAAAACAAAAAGTTTGAAACCTTAGATGTTATATATTAACGCCTATATAAACAATAAAGGTCAAATCTCAGATGTTACAGAGCTTTGATACTTATCAATGAACATAACTGAAAAGTATATTGCCTATATAAAAACGAAATCAACGCCGTGTTTCAGCGGTGATGAACAAACAGATTCAAACTTTTAAATGGATAACAATAAATCAAAAACTATAAATCTTACTTATGCTCCCACATACGAAACCAGCAACATATTTCCTCAAATCAAATAAATCAACTTGATTTGCAGATAATTAATCAGAAAACAAAATTCAGAAGTCACAATGCTATGATTCTTCTCAGTCGACAAAACCCACAACTATTATTCTTGCCCAAAATCATGGAACACAGTTGAATTTTGAATCGAATAAAAAAAATTTAGGTCAAATTGCTTGAAGAAAATCTCTAGCATGAATGGTTGAAAAAAATATACCCGTGTGGGTGGATGGTAAATAACAGATGCTATACCATAAGTAAAAAAAATTTCAGGACTAAGATAAAACCTGGATAACTTTGATTCCAGTGTAAGTGAAAATTATTGGAGCGCGAGACCAATTCGAGATCAGAGAAAAGATGTCGTGAGGCTTGTGATTGCAGAGCCCGGATTTTCTTGCCCTTTTGAGGAGAGAAGAGAAGTTATGTGTTTACGGATGAAGCTTTGTATTCCTTTCTTTATTGCTACTTTCTTCCTCTTTGGCTTCCCCATTTTATAGGAAGAAGAAGAGCTATCTGTAATATTTCTCAACGGGTCTCTGAGAAAACAAAGGTTCCTTGATCTCAGGGATATACATCCAACGTTCATATGAACGTTGGTTCATGTGAACGTTGGATGTGATAAACATACTATTCCTCCGACAATTGTATGTAAAGTCACACGAGGCCTTATGGCCATACGTGCTAACAATAGTTCATATGAGTCCACCAACTCATATGCAATGTGCATCCTCTCTCCATGATTTATTTTTTAGATGGATTTTGAAACCAATTTTAGAATATCTAACATGGGGATCATTAACATATAGAAAATAATTTTTTAAACAAAAGATATTTGTTGAAAAATAAAATTTGAAGGTCAATTTTATTCTTTTGGTGGGAACATTATTATTTTTACACGAACACAATACACTTTTCCAATATTTGAAAGTGCTAATACGTTGAGTTTGGGCTGAGCGGTTTACGCCCAGCCTGAACTCATCGTCCAACAGGCCTTAGCTGCCCTGTGTAAGGGCTGGCTCGAGACCGGCTAAGAGCCGTACTCATGTTTTATATTGGGAAAATTACATAAACCTCCCAAAATGGACTTTCTAATCAATTTACCCCCCACCTAACTCTTATTAGCAACTTTTTCTCCAAAACCATGTTTCTTAGCAAATACTCCTAACTCAAAAAAAAAAAAAAAAAAAACTAAAATACCTCTCTCTTACCTCACATATTGACCATGGAGGTCCAGCACTTCACTATGGCAGTCCGACACTTTATCATGGCGGTTTAAAGTTTGGAAGAGGCGGTCCGACATTTATTTTTGAATTAATGAGCGGTCCGGTATTTGTGAGCTATGGTAAGGCAAATAGAAAATTGTGTCTAAAATAGGTGGCCTGGTAGTGTACAGTTTCGATCAGGTAGAATAGGTCCAGCAATATGCGACTGCCGTCCAACGTGTTTTTTTATTGGAATCCAAAAATGATTTGTTAGGTACAAAAAGGATATTTTCGTTAAAAAAAATAAAATTTTTATATTCGAGTTATTTCAAAAAAATTTGCTAAAAAAACTTAGGTTAAAGTATGAGGCTTTATGCAATTTTCCCTTTCTATTTTGCTTTTGAAAACCCCTCGGGCTGAGATGCGCTTAAATTCAGGTCATCAGGCGCCGCTTCGGCTGCTATGTGATTTCCGAATAAAAGAGAACCCAGTTTCTCACCGATGCTTTTAGTAAACCACCCTTCTTATTTCTACACTTCTTTCTAGTCCATTCCAAGAAACTTGTCTCGCAAAACTAGCTTCTTAAGAAAACGGTGACAGATCCATGTCATCTACTTGTAAATATGGCGTAAGGATTACGATTTACGAGTGGGGGGAGCTGTGGTCGTTAGAGAGAGACGAACGTGGGCGTCCTCTCTCTCTCCTTGCGTTTCTCTCTCATCAATTCTACCCGCCCTTCCTCCTGCTTTCTCTGTCTAATACCAATCTTTCGCTCTCTACTGCCTCTCTCCCTCTCTCTCTCTACACAAGAGCTAAGAAGAAGGCGGACGAATCCAGTTTCCGATTCAGTGTGGTGCGCCCACAATTCTCGCCCCACTCCTGCCTCCGCTCCAACCGCCACGCTCGCTCCCTATTTAAACCCCATTCTCTCTCTCTCTCTCTCTCTCTCTCTCTCCCTCTCTCTGTCTCTGTCTCTGTCTCTGTCTGTCTCTGTCTCTCTCTAAATCTACACTTTGAAATCTCATCATTTGCAGGCTTATATGTCATTTCATTCCTGATCTTATTTATCTGAAAATCCCTAACTTTCTCACTCTCAGATTATTTGGGGCCAAAATTGAAGGGCATCTGCGCGTTTTGGCCCTGATCTTACCCAAAAACCCTAACTTTATCTCGCTACTCAATTGTAACGGGTTCCAAGCTTGCTGCATATTTTTCCACTGGTGAGTTTGTTATCATTTTCTATCTGTAATTCGATCTATGCAATAATGAGGGTTTTCTATTAGTATTGGTGATGAAAAATGGAATCTTTCTCCCTCTCCCTCTATTCCTGTTCTCTATCTCTTTCAAATTGTTTGCAGATCGTGTCTTTGAGTTTTGTTGGTAATGAATCTGTGGGGTTGTGATTGTTTTGCTTATCGATTTGATGGTTTCCATTATTAGTTTCTGATTTTTATTGGGGATTTTGCTCCTTGCATCTTAGGAGGGACCATTTTGGTTATTTTTGGATGCATGCGTTTGATTTTGGTCCCTTTTTTGTTGCTCAATGGGCCTACGCCATGTTTTAGCTTTTCTTTTGTGGTGTCACATGGTTCCTGTTTTGCCAAGCTTTTTGAAAGTTTCTCGTGAATAAGGGTTGGAATCATTTGCACTCTTCCTCAATACTATTTTATTTCATTTTTCTCATTACTTTATCGGTTTTGAAAATATCTTACATTGGTTGGCAGTTGCTGAGATTCATCTGCTTGCATGGAAACTAATTTTTGACTTAAAAGGCCAACTACTTGCTGTTCGATTATTTTATGGTATTGCTTCTTGCCTTCCTTTACTTGTGGTCTATATCAAGACAATAATCTACCATGTGGGCACATGGTGCTTAGCTTTTTGGTTATGGTGGATCTGTTATATTGTTTCTTTCATTTGTCCCCTTCAGGTTGTTGATAAACTTTTTATGTCAGTATAGTAGTCATGCATAATCCTCTGAGCATTTTCCATTGAATATGATCCTTTGAGCATTTGCCATCGGATGTTTGGGAAGGTAAGGCTTAAAGTCATTTGGGAGGTTTTTGTTCATGTTGATTTATTCAGGAGTTCATTCGCTCTTTCCTTATTTAAGTGGTTATTTCCGTTGTGTACTACATCATTAGATATCATGGAAAGAGCCTGGAACATGTTCAACCCTGGTGTAAAAAGTTTGGGATATGAAGGCTATTGAGTTGGTATTTCAGCATTGCCAAATGATGGGCATCACATATATATGTATCTATTGATCGATTCTTCACTTATTTGAATCTCTATAAAAATGGTTGTGGCATTCTTTTGATGATTCGTTTGGCTACTTTTGATTAGGAACATCTTGTTTGGTACAATGTTTTATTTTCTTTATTATTTGTTAACAGTCTTGAATTTAAGTGGAAGGGTACATCAAGTTATAGAAGGGGTGGAAGGGTTGTCAGTCACATAAAGAGTTCAACAAAAGTGTAATAACCCGAAAAGAAAAAGTGAGAATAACAGGTCCTTGGAGGGGAGGAGGGGGAATGGAGGTTCCGATCGAAAGAAAGTCCTTCTGCATGAGGAAATCTCTCTCACAAAGAACTTTCCTAAGCACTTGGGAATGGGAGATCAACACCCTGGCCATATCCTGAAAATCTCCCATGGGCTTTTCACTGACTTGACTACTGGGTTCGTTTAATTTTGATACGTGAAGCTGCAATATACTAAGTTTAATGCTTATGATTTGTCAATTAGTTTTTGCATTTTGAGGAAGCAAGCTTAGATTATACATTCCCTGATCTCTGCTTTTTTCTCTTATCTGATAGGGGTGCTTTGAATTGTGATCAGTTAACTTGATTGTGAGAATGGCTCTTTTTGCATCTTGAGGATCTATTGTGATTTCCTTTATTGCATAGTGAAATACATTAGTCTATGTTCTGGTGTAGCTGAGGGTGGTTAGCCGTACGGTTATTGTGCTTCTACTTTTGGGCTAATTGGTCTATCGGATGTACTTAATGGAGAGATTTTGAACATAGGGATGGTACAATTATGATTTAAAATGTTAGTTAACAGTTTGCAACCAACAAGTTTGGAGATCTTTTTTTGGGGAGGTAGCGTTTGGGTCCATTCAATCCAGTGATGCGCTCATTTTGTCCACAGGTACTGAAACGACGAAAATAAACATGTGCAGGATGGGATATGTGGAATAGTTGTCATATTTCAAATTTTGAGAATATCAAACCTTGTTTCCCAACCTTTGGGGTGTGCCTTTCCTATATTTTTCTCCTGTAAATGGAAGGAAGGTCGAACGCTTACTTTGATGTCAATATCCTTTTATATTGGTTAATCATCTTAAAATTTGGGTTTCCTTGATTATTATATCATGAAATGCTAGAGAGCCATGGGTTGCCCCATGGTCCCAGAGCACAAATAATTCACAATTGTTTAGCATCCAATCTTCCCTGGAGTCTGTTCCCATAAAAGAGAAACCCGCCCTTTCCACTGTTCTTCTCATCTAGCAATAAGTTGGGTTAGCTAATTCTTTAAATTGTTCTGATACTATCTTGATGTTCTTTAAATTGTTCTGATACTATCTTGATGTTGACACACATGTAATAATCTCAGGACATTTGTTTTACACAGCTCAACATGCCTAAATTTGTTATCCATAGCTTTGTCCAAATATACCATTGCTTGAAAGTTGGCTGCCTGAATGCCTGGGCAGCCTGTCTAGGCAGGCGAGGGCCTTAGGCACATTGCTTAGGGCCATTGGCAGCCTACTTGTGTGGAGGGGTCCCTAGGTGCCTGCTTAGGCAGGTGTTTTACCCTGCCGTGGCCTTTCTTCTTCTTCTTCTTGTAAGCAAACACTTGGACTTGTGCTCTTGTCACGGGACACTTGGAGGACACAATCTCTCTCTCTACATCTTCTTCTTCTCGTCGTTGAACACTTGGACTTATGCTTTTTGTCATGGAATACTTGGATGCCGCTCTCTCTCTCTCTACATCTTCATCTAGCACTCTCATCATCCGACACATGGATGTCTCTCTCTCTCTCTCTCTCTCTCTCTCTCCACATATAGATAGATATCCCCACCCCAAGCACCCCATATATATTAATATACAATTCTCCCCCTCCTTGTGCCTTGTTATCTACGGTGCGCCTCAATCATGAGTATCAATGATTTTTTAGTATCTATAATCATAGTTGATGTAATTTTCAGAAAGACATTTTTTGGTATGGCATGTTTTAGTCTTTTCTCCTTTGGACAATCATGGAGTATTAAAACATGTCAATCCTTTAGTTGCTGCCACAATCCATTGAGATTTAGTTGTTTGTCGTAATGATTAGTGAAAAAAAGTTTCTCTGAAAAAATTTTATATCTATCAAAAAAATATTAGAAATAATTGTAATATTGTGATCTATGTTATACATGCTCATGCAGATGAGTTTAAAATGAACAATTTTTTTGTCTGGTTCTAGTTCAACCAATGGGACCAGATTGTCAGGTCCGGTTTTTAGGACATTGAGTTTATCTCAAGATTCTTCTTTTATGTAGTTTGACAATTCTTGAATGACTAGCATGGCCAAGAGCTTTGAAGATGACCCCTAAACCTGAACATGCAAAGCTTTTGAAGGGGAGCGAAGTAGGCTTTGGCATTTGAATGTCTTGGGTCCAGATTAGACTTTCACCTTAGGGGATATGTGTTTTTCACACCTTTGTGAGTTTCTAGAATAGGTGGTGCTTAATATTAAGGAATCTGATTTTGTACCTTGAGGGGTTTTGGTACCATATGTTTGTTGTGTAGCCAAAGGGCCAAAAGGGCAGTGTGTGTGTGTGTGAGAGAGAGAGAGAGAGAGGAGGGGGCGGGAAATGACTTGGTGGGCGTGTTTCCAGCAATGGTCCTTGGGGTGGGGAGGGGTGGATCGACATTCTCTATCGTTGTTTGGTTTCTGTTATGTCAATATAATCAATGATAACAAAAAAAAATGGAATATCAAAAGCCGTGATGCCACAGTCCTTGGGATTGGCTGTCATATTCATGTCTGATACCATGGAAATACATAAAATTACAAAAGACACATTTCCTTCCTATTTCCTTTGTTGTAAACAGGCATCATATAATGATGATTATAGAAGGAATGAGTTGATTTGAATAGGAAATGATAGATTTGTGATGGAAAAAGTTCTCCACGACACTTTGGATTATTAAGAGTTCATGGAGGTCCTTGTGTGCTGGTCGACATTTTGTACAAATCATGTAACCGTTAGAAATTCAAACTGCACTTGTGAAATCAGGTGCATATGGAAAGTCTTCAACTGCAGGTTTGAAGAAAGCTGTTGAAAACTTTTGGTTTTGTTCCTGTTCTTTGAACATCCTGGGTCTATAATCCTGCAATGGGTATTTTGAAGTTTTTGTTTTCTGTTAAAATTTCATTTAACAAGTTTGGTGTAAATTCTCGATGTTGTTTTTTTAGTCTTCATTCTCTTCATTTTGGAATCTTCTGATCTGTTTGGCAGTGAGATTTTTCAAATTTTGTAATTGGCCATGTTGCATTTTACAAAAAACACTAAATATGACAAAGGAAATGCAAGTAATCACTATTGTTTTAAAAGAAAAGGTGACAATATATTACCATTATAGCATAGTTACAAAAACTCCTCATGAGAAATGAGGTATTATGGCAGCCCACAAACTGGGTGCTGTGCTGTCAAAAAATCATATGAGAATTTTGTTATTGAGAAATTTGGAGTTCTATCAGAAATAAAAAGATGTCCCTGAAAATGTTCTTGTAGATGCAGCTCCAAGAATTGCATAGCTTCTGTCAATATCCATTTGAAGGGTTGTTGCTTCTCTAAGTGAAATTATAGAAGGTTTGGTGAGAGAACTCTTTGATCACTGGGCATCGTGGTCGAGGGAAACAAAATTAAAGCCTCTTTTGTAGTGTATATATTTTAATTTCAGTTTTCATTTTGATAGCTGACAATGAATAATGAACTACTAATGAAAGCAGATACAAGGTATTTATGATGAATGATGATGATGGATAGATGATGGTTATCAAGAAAAGAGGAAAAAGGTATATGATTGATATTGTAGCATATTTGTAATAATTTCTGCTACATTGGTCTCGGCCTTTACCTTTATAAAATAATGCTAATAACTACCATAAAGAATTATCGCAATGCTATTTATGATGAAATTGGTGTTGTGATTGGGGAAATCATATGAATCAATGGGAATCATAGAAAAATTGAATGTGTATAATAATTTTACTTTTATTGTTTTCTCTTCTAACTTCCATTTGTTCCTAAGTTTCATTGATTTAATGAAAACTCGCATTTCAAATTTTGATTGATAATTATTGTGGAGCACTTCAATTCTCATGTAATTTTTTGTACTCTGAAGCTAATATCAATACCCTTGATGCGCTGTAGCACTCTTTTATACTATCCTTTACTCTATTGTTAATATAAATGATCCAGATACTTGTATTTGCACCCATTTTAGCAAGTCATGGTATGTTCTCTACTTTCTTAATATGTAACATAAATGTCAATCTTAATATAGCTTACCATCTCGAAAAATTTTTTTTCCCATGTTTCAACTTCCTACATCAAATGTGATTTGGTTCAACAAACTCTTATACATTTTCATTATCATCGCCATCATCAACATTCGAGCATTATCCCAACTATTTGGGCTTTGCTATACGAATCTTGTTCTGCCGCTTCACTCTATCAAGGGTCATACCCTCAATGAGACTATAAATCATCACATCTTTTCCCACTACTTCCATCCAGGTCCTTCGAGGCCCTCCTCTTACCCTTTTAGAGCCTTCCACTAGGACTAATCAGCCCTCCTAATGTTGTTTTATGTTGACGCTGCACATGACCAAGTTTACATTTCCACATTTTATGACCTTATTGGAGTTACCCCTAAGTTTCCTTTCTATCATTATTGTATTGCCACTCATCTATCTCAACATCCTCATCTAAGCTACACTCATTTTATGGATATATTATTTTTTGACCGCCCAACATTCTGTCCCATAAAGCGTGGCTGATCATACAACCATTCCATTGAACTTCCCCTTTAGTTTCATTGATAGGCGATGATAACATAAGACTTCAGAAGCACATCTCCACTTTTATCCACCCACCTTGAATTCTATAAGCAACATCCTCCTCAATCTTTCCTTTCTCATGGATTATCAAGCTAATATTTAAAAAATAATCTTTTTAAGGTACTTTTTGGCTGTTGATCTTGATTAATTCCTCGTTTCTGCTCCTATTATTATTGAACTTGCATTCCATATATTCTACCTTAGTCAAGCTAATTTTGAAACCTTTAGATTCTAAAGAATCCCATGAAGTTCTAACTTTGCGTTTGTGCCATCTCTAGTCTCATCAACCAAAAATATGTCATCTGTAAATAACACACAACACGAGACCTCATCCTGTGGAATGCTAGTTAAGTCGTCCATAACCAAACCAAAGAGTCATGGGTTCAATGCAGACCCCATATGTAGGCCTACTGTCATTGAGAACTCACTTCTCTTTACTAGTTGTCCTCACATTAGTTAGTGCTTCTTTGTACATAGCCAGGACCATATCAATATATCCTCTTGAGACTCCTTTCTTTATTGGCACCCTCCAAATTCCCTCTAGGTACCCTATACTATGCTTTCTCAAAATTAATAAAGACCATGTAGAGGTCTTTTCTCTTCTCCCCAAACCTCTTGATCAATTACTTAAATAGGAAAGTATCCTCAATGGTTGACCTGCCTGACATAAATCAGAATTGATTTTTTGTTACACTTGTTTCACATTTTAGTTGGTACTCAAATCATTCTCCCACTGTTTCATAGTGTGGCTCATAAGTTTGATCCTTCAATAGTTCATAAAACTTTGTATGTCTCCTTTGTTCTTGGAAATAGGTACCACAATACTTTTCTTTCATTCTTTAGGCATTTTTTTTGTTCTCAAAATCTTATTTAACAACTTGGTCAACTGGAATATGCCTCCCATGAACTTCCAAACCTCTATTGGCATATACCATATGGTCTTAAGGCCCTTTCTATCTTCATCTTTCTCAAAGCTTCTTTCACTCAGGTATCCTAATCGTATGAAAGTGTTTCGACCTCATTCATGTCAGTGGTTCCTCTTAACGATGAGCTCTTAGAGTGGTCGTCTTTTAACAATTTTGGAAAATAAATTTTCCCTTGTCATTGACCTCGTCATCCTTCACCAACACCCTCTGATCCTCACCCTTAGTGTATTAAACATGATCTAGGATCGACACTTCTCTCTCTTATTTTTTGCTAGTTTGAAGTTGTCTTTTCACGTTCTATTGTCTCCAATTTATAGATCATCGTATGCCTTACGTCTATCTTTTTTAGCGTTCCTTCTGCATTCTTCTAAATTTTGATCTTTCTTTTCCTTTGCCAAGTTTTGTAACATAATCATTTCTCACTAGTAACCTTTTGAGCCTTATCATTCGCCACCAAGTTTCCTTATCTGAAAGTCTTTTCCCTCGAGATTCTCCTAATACTTCTTTTGCCACTTTCTTAATACAACCAGCCATCTCATTCCACATAGCATAAATTTCGTCCTTAGAATTCCCTTTTCTTTCTTTCATCAATTTATTTCTAAATAAGTCTATTTTTTCTCTTTTTAAGTTCTACCACCTAGTTATTGGACAACTATTAATGTCACTCCTTCTCTTTCATCTCTAAATCCAAACATCCATAACTATGAGCACAACACTCAGGCATGGTATTACTTACCTTACAATCTTTACATGATGATCGTTATGCCTTCTTAACTTGAAAAAAGACTATATGGCTTTTTGATGGTCCACTTTTGTAAGTTATTAAATGTTCATCTCGCTTTTGATGGTCCACTTTTGTAAGTTATTAAATGTTCATCTCTGTATTACTAATTTTAGATCATAAGCTACGAAAATATCAAGAATGGCATCACCCACATATCATTTCTTTTCCCAAGTCCATATCGTCCATGTACCTTTTAATATATTCTATCTTTTCCTACATGACCATTTAACTCCCTTCCTAAAAATGTCCTCTCTCCATTTGGTATTCCTTAGACTACTCCATCGATGTCCTTTCAGAATTGTCTTATAATTTTATCCTCTATTCCTACCTTTGGTGCATAAGCACTAATTATATTAATTATTTCATCTCCTAACGCCTATTAATTAATAAGAGCCTATCACTTACTCTCTTAACATCTACTATTGTATCCTTTAAATCTTTGTCTACCATTATACTTATGTAATCTCTATTATTATCCTTTCCTATATATAGAAGTTTATCCATGAATATTTTTAGCTTTTGCCCCATTCCATTTAGTGTCCTGTAAACAAACTATGTTAACTCTCCTCCTTATCGTTTTATCCACTAGCTAATCTTATTTGATAGAGTTCCTACATTCCATGTGTCCAGATGAATCTTATTCTCTTGGTCTAGTTTTTTATCTGCGCTCGTCTAAAATGGCATGGGGAACCCTAAGCTACCCGCAACTGGACATCATTGCGGCATATCTCTTATAGGGAATGCCCTAGCTAACCTTGCTCATTTCTCACTCCACCTGGGTGCCGGAACAATTCGTGGCTTACAGGAAATGCCTTGGTATGAGCATATAATGTTGGATCAGGATTCATGATGGGGATGTGGCCAAAGTTTTTGCTGGCTGCTGACCTAACACACAACCCTCCTTTTTGATCCGGGCTTGGAACCGGCAATGACGGAGTTACAGAGTCTTATATTGGTAAAATAATAAATACATAATCACAATAGGCCTCATATTTAATGAATTCCCAGAACTTTGTGCACCCTTTGATGAGCCTGTAACTCATTGCAGTGCATATATAGGGTAACAAAAGTGTGCTACTCTTCATATTGATTTTGTCATAGTGGCTGGTGGATGCAGAAAAAGTAAAGCAGCTTTGGGGAGAGGTCATGATGTCAGTATCTACGGAAAAATGATGGCAGTCCTAGGATAGGGCTCTGATGGAAATATGTCAAGTGAATTAATAGAAGTTGGCAGTGGATGAATTATATGTTATTTCGTGTTGCTTGTGTATGTCCATCTTTCAGGGTTTTATGTTTTGGCTGGTTTTCTCTTCCAAGAAAATCCTTTACCTGAAATATTGCACCATAACATTGTTGTTTTTATGAGATTGTCCTTAAAGGGCTGTCATAATAATCATGGATTTTGGTCTTTTGGATTGTGATGAACTTATTCATATGATTCACTGTGTTCCACATTAAATATCTCAATATGAACTGCACGGTCGCTTTGTAGGATGATCTTGCATAATATTCTTATTACTGAGAGTGGATATTTTCTGTCAAAAAAAAAAAAAGGGGCAGGGATCAGTTTTTATAGATGCCCCTTACCTCGCTCTGGTGTGATCTACTTTTAAGCATTCCCTCATACTTTTAAGCATCAACCATCTTGTGTCATATGATACATTCACAGAACACAAGTACTATTGGTCTTGTATCTGTAAATGAAATTGTGCTTTGTTCAGTTTTCTGAATCTCACTAGTAAGCATTTTTGAATAACAAAGAGGGCATCTGAATGCATTGAAGAATCTTTCTCACTACTGGTCTTGTATCCGTAAATGAAACTGTGCTTTGTTCATTCTGAATCTCACTAGTAAGCATTTTTGAATAACAAAGAGGGCATCTGAATGCATTGAAGAATCTTTCTGTCTCTTAACTCTCACCGGCACTCTGGGGCATTTATGCTTTTCTATTTTACACTCCAAGGAATCCACCTGTGGAATTTTGGATCCCTGGCTAGTTGCTTAGGAAGCAAGGCAATGTACCATCTGTCTGGGTAAACTATCATTTCCATGTCCTGGTATTTTCGGCGGTTAAAATGAGTTGCAAGTGAAGATGACCTTGCTCCCATTTTTTATTTTCTGAGCTGTAAAGGTATTTCATTTTTTTTTTGACAGTTTGGCGCTTTTATATAGATTCTATACTGGTCTGGTAGTTTGGCGCTTTTATTTTTTGATGGTTCATTTGACAGCTAAAGGAAGGCAAGCATACTGATGCCCTCTGGGCAACTACACATTGATAGGAACCTACGTACTAGTCCAATTTCTGTAATTTGGGGATAGAACTTTGTAAAAAAAAGAGAATTGTTGTTCTATTATTGATAAAGTCACTGGCTGCATGAGAAAATAAGAAGAAAGTTTTTGGTATCCCAAGAATATGGGTGTTTGCAAGCAGCACAATTGAGTGCATAGTTACTCATTGCTTATACCTGCCTCTGTCTCTACTTCTCATGCAGAATATGCTAGAACCAATCAAGCTGCACTTAAACAACTGCAATGTAGATTCTTCACGGCTTCATCTGTCCTAGACATGCTATGTAGTTTTGGATTCTTCACGGCTTCATCTGTCCTCTTTAAATGTATGTTATTATATTCAGTTCGATAGATAGCATTGCATGACAATTTAGAGCACATGCAGCAAGTCCCAGATTTCAGTATATAACATTAGATCTTGGGTTTGGGTGGTTTTGGATGGGAAATAGGCATAATGTTGGATGGAAAGTTAACCATGTTAATTAGAAGTTCAACTACAATAAGTTTCTGCTTTTGCACCATCATCATGCACGTGCAAGTAGAGCAAGGAATTTATGGGTTCGTCATCTCTGCCAGACTGTTGGCTTAGCTATCAATTAAGCTACAATTCATTCAATGTTGGAAATCCTTTCCCTAGAAGCTTGTTCACAGAGAATAAATCCGTTGTGCTTCCTGTGAGGACGTGTATCTTAGTCTGGGCATGCATATGAAACATCTTTTCTTGCCCAGTTCAAAGTAACCTGTTGGCAGCCTCAAGAGTATCTTAATCAAACCACCTTCTTATGAACGGCCAAGTAAATGGCAGAGGGGCTCTATGTTTTTTTTTTGTCCTCTTGATCATTAGAATGTTCTACTCTGGACAGTGTTGAATGTGTCTTTTTTATAGAGTATCTTAATCAAACCATCGTTTATACTTTTCTTTGTCCTCCTTTCAGCTTCACAATGCAGCGTTTTTTGCTAGAATGTGTTTCTGTAGTGTGTGCATGTTTTTTTGTTGTGTTTCTTAGAGAGAGAGAGAGAGTCCCCTGTGTGACTTGCTTGGACTGATATTAAACTTCCACGTTTCTTGATAACTGCGGTAGGTTCCAATTGAAAAAGATGGCAAAGAGCAGGAGCCGCCGCAAATCTGCTTCCAGACGCTGCATGCTGCACCCACGCCCCTCAAAATTCACACGCCATTGGAACCTAGACAACACGGCCCACAGCACAAGCAACAAGAAAATCCCGAAATCAACTGCCACTGAACCCTCATTGAAGAAAGACTGGGAAGACGCAACATGCTCTGTGTGTATGGAATACCCTCACAATGCAGTCCTCCTCCTTTGCTCCTCCCACGACAAGGGCTGCCGCCCCTTCATGTGTGGGACCAGCCGCCGCTTCTCCAACTGCCTCGACCAATTCAAGAAGGCCCATGCCAAAGCCCGTGACCTCCAGGCCCCTCCCAGCCTTGCCCAAGTGGGGTCCATCACTCCCTCAGATAGTGAGGATGCATCCTTAGAGGGCGATGACGAGGGTCCCGTAGAGAGGTGGGAGGTGGGGGAGCTGGTGTGCCCCCTCTGTCGGGGCCAGGTCAAGGGCTGGACTGTGGTGGAGCCTGCTCGGGCCTACTTAAACCTGAAGCATAGGGGGTGCATGGAGGAGGGGTGTGGGTTCACAGGAACATACAGAGACCTGAGGAGGCATGTGGAGTTGGAGCACCCATGCTCCCGCCCTTGCCAGGTGGATCCGGAGCGGCAGCGTGACTGGAGGCGGTTTGAGCGAGAGAGGGACCGTGAGGATGTCATGAGTACCATCCGTTCCACAATGCCCGGGGCAGTGGTCTTGGGTGATTACGTCATCGAGGGTGGGGAGCCTTCGGCAGCTGAGGATGGCAACTGGCTAGATGTCCTACTCCTTTTTCAGGCGTTGGGTCCAGCTGCCGAGGGAGCCATGGGGGGTGGGAGGAACTTGTCGTCGAGATTGAGGAGGCTTGCGATGGGTCGACACCGAGGAGGGATTGTTGGGATGGGCTCCACATCGGGGTTGGGGGAGTGGGGGGAGGGGTCAGATAGTGACGACTTTGCAGCAGGGCCTTTCCAGAGGAGACGACGTAGAACGAGGCGGAGGGCGTTGAGGGACATGCATTGATGTGTGATGTGGGTATTGGATGTGGTGGGCCGTGGTGAGGCCCTATTGCAGGTATGATGTGGACGCTGTATATGTGATGTGCATAGACATTGTGCATAAACATGATCCCATGGTCCTTTTCCCTGTCTTTGAGGTAGGATAGGAGTGTTTTTATTTCCTGCTCTTTCCGTTGTGAAATTGTTGCTCTCTCTCTCTCTCTCTCTTTCTCTCTCGCTCTAATCTCTCTTGCTCATCATTTGTAGGCAATCGGCCTACATTAAATCCTGGGGTTTTGTGATTATTTGGCCGTTATAAATATACTTGCTTTTTGGGTTTGTATGGGTAGGCTTGCTTGGATTGGCTGGTGGCCAGTGCTGCCCCCTGAACCACATAACCAAGAATTGGAGAGAGAAATGGTCGTAACATTCTCTCAACAGTTGAATTATTGACGTCTCAGTTGGAAACTAGTGACCGTAATTCGATCAATTTATTAGTCCAGTTCCGATATTGTTCACTTTCTTGAAATGCCAATGATGAATCAGAGCTTTGCTTCTCATGCGTCCCCTAGGAAAATGCCACCACAGAACCCTGGTTTTGTTTTTTTTTCTCTCTGTTTTTCTTGCATCGTTTTGTGGTTCTTTGTTTTATATCTTTCATTGGTCGGTAAACTTGAGGTCGTTTTTTTTTGAGATTACTTACTTTTGATACAAGGAGATCACAATTATTTACAACCATTCGATGTGAAATCTGATAGTTTGGGTAAGTCACAAAGTTTAAGAAATTTTTTTTTGAAGTTTGAGCTTGATCAATGGAATAAATGCAGCAATCTAATTTCACATCCAATGGTCAAGATTAATTGTGACCATTTTGTACCAAAAGTAAATGATTTTATTGTCTATTTTTCTTTTATGATAAATGTATGTCAAAGTATAGTACGCAAACGTCAAACTTTACTATGCACAAGCAATGCGAGGGCCTATTTAGCCCTTTTTATTAGGGTTGAGAGAGAGTTTGTGCAATAATTGTCTATCTAAAAATTTGTAGGTACTCTCTTTTAAATTTGATACAGTTTTTTTCTAAAATTTTAATATACTCCTTAAAACTTAAAATTTGAGATAGTATTTTTCTTAAAATTTATTGATATAGTTTGTCGTTAAAAATTTGTATGTACCAAATGTGTGTAATGCAGCGTTTTAAAAAACGTCGAGTCGAACCGGACTCGCTCGGTTCGACTCAGAATTCGCGAAAAGGGATCGGATCGGTTGAAAAATCGGAAATCGTCCGGTTCTAGAGAGAACTGGACGATTCCGCACAGTGACTCGCCGATTCACTGTACGGAATCGGCGAGTCCGTACGGTTTTCGTTTTTTTTTTTTTTTTTTTGGGTAATCCATGATAGA